CGTACTAAAAGGTAAACAACAACGCGAGACTCAGAATCACGGAATCGGTTCGGTTGGAAGAGACCTCTGAGATCATCGAGTCCACCTGTGTCCGAACACCGCCTTGTCAGCTAGACCATGGATGGCACCGAGTGCCGTCCAGTCTTTCCTTAAACATCTCCAGGAACGGTGACTCCACCGCTTCCCTGGAAAGCCGATTCTAATGCCTGATATCGATGAAACGAGGCTATAATTTAGGTTGCAAGGAATCAAATATTTATTAATGCCAATAAGCAAAAACGGCCAGCCGGGTGTCTGGAGGAAACCCAAGTTCCTGCCGCAGACCGCGCTAGGAAACCGAAAACGGAACTTATTATACCCCTCGTTATCCACCTCCCCCCAAGGTCAATTCATCAGTCCATTGGTCCAGGTTTCGTGGGCTAAACTCCGTATGGTTCCTCTTTCGCGGGCCAAATCCAGGTTGGTTCCTCTTTTCGCGGGCTAGAGCTGTTGCTGGGAGCTATCAACCAATAGTCCAAAGGCCAACAGTCCCTATGGGCCGTGACTCAGGAAAATTCTACCAGGATGACGGTTGATCCTCGTGGTCGACCATCCCCTGCTGGTCTCCATATTGCCTTCTATTAATACCCTTGAAATAGACAACTTCAAAACAATAATCACCAATGCGCTAAATCATCATTGCGTTGTGTTTTTAGTAGTCCGCAGCTTATGAATCTCGTGGTTAACAATTGCACAACACTTGAACTTGCAAGTACAGCCACTGCTGTAATAACGTTAGTAACAGCATTATAACTTCATAACTCTTTTTATATTCTGAACAGCAAATTTCCTAGTTTTACTTATAACAATTCCCCCCTCCTAATTTCCTCATAAATTTGCTGGTCAAATTCAATCACGGCTTCTTTAGCCACTTCTAAGAGAGAGCCCTGATCCTCACTAGAGGACTTCCCACTCATATCCTCATATTGCTATTTCATTGTCAATATTTGTACAGCCTCAATCCTATTCTTAGCAAAGGCTACAATCTTATTAAGAATACAAGGTCCAAAAATTAGTGAAGCAATCAACATTATTAAAGGACCTGCTAGGGTTGAAATTAAAGTTGTCAGCCAAGGGAACTGATTACTCCAAGTATCTAGCCAATTTTGTGAAGCTTCTTTTTCCCTTTTCCTTTGTAAAATTCCTTCACGTAATTTAGTCATAGATTCTTTAATAACCCCAGAATGGTTAGCATAGAAACAACACTCTTCGCCAAGTGCCACACATAACCCTCCTTGCTGCAGGAATAGTAAATCTAACCCGCGCCTATTTTGTAGGACCACTTCTGAGAGGGAATTTAGAGAGGTTTCCAAATATGATATGGATCTTTCTATTCTGTCCAAATCCTCGTCCACTGCTGCCCTTAAGGCAGTCAGTCCATGACTCTGTTGCACCAAAGATGCAACTCCAGCCCCTGTGGCTCCCAACCCTAAAATCATTGCAATAGTTACACTTACTGGTTCCCGTTTCTGTATCCGGTGCTTGCTTATTTCCCAAAACTCGAAAACAGATTCTTCAGAACGATACAACATATGAGGCAACACAGTTATCTGAACACAGAACTCATTATTCCTTTTGAATGCAGAAATAGACACACACGGGACTAGGCCAGTCTTAGAGCAAATCCACCACCCACCTTGGTGGGGTATAGCCCATTTGTTCTTTCCCTCCTCCAGCTTTCCTATTTTAGTACCACATAGATCTTCACTTTCTGGAGGAACCTTCCCCCCACACATCCCTCGTCCACTGACCTGTGACATTGTGAGACCTATTTTCTTCTCACTCCATCTACATTGACTCGGATTATCCTCTGTGCTTAGATTAAAAGTGAGGTTTAATCCTACTCCCTCATAGAAGGGAGGTCTCACATTGTAACATAACCAACAAGATTCAGTCATGTCAGGGTCTGTGTAATTGATTGCCTTATAGGATGCTTCTACCATATTCAACATTGATCCCACTCCCCCTTGGGATACCTTTTCTTTTTCAGATAATTTGGTAGGAAGAGTCTGGATTCTCCTAGACTCTCGTGGCACTGGGCTAGTAAGGACTTTATTCACGTTCTCCTTTTCTCTTCCTGGTCCGTTGTCCCTGAATTCCTTTATCTCCAAATTAGGTCCTAATAACTGAGAATGAACAGTTAGTGGCTGTTTCCTTATTGTTATATATTCACCTGGATCTGCAGATAACCTGTCCACTCTCACTCCCCATGTTCGTCCAGTCAACCACCCCCGGTCCTTGTGATTCAAGACTTGTACCTGTAGATACTCACAATTAGAAGGTTCATTAGGGAGTACAAATCCTCCAAATGCAGGGGGCTCACAGTGTGGAGGTCCCCATTGTACTCGTAAGTATCTATCGGGTCTCTCTGGTCTCCAAGCAGTAGCTATGGTCTCACAACCCCAATACCCGCAGTGATAATGCCCAGGATAATTGCAATAGGACTTCCCTGGATTAGAAGTTGGACACCAATATGTGGCTCCTTTATTTACTGTAACAGAGGGTTTCTTCCCTCCCCTGCCACATTCCTGAGGTATATTGGCCATTAATAAATCACAAACTGTCACATTGAATTTAGGACCTATTGCAGTTACTGCTTTTCGGACAACTTTAGAATCTCTGGACCTGGTTAAAGTCCATTCAAATGGTTGGTGGGCACATCCCAGAGAACTTATAAAAGCCATTCCAATAATGATTAGTACCCGATTTTTCCTCATTTTGTCTGAGTCTCTTCCCTTACTTTCAGTGATTCTTATTTGGTCACTTCCCCACACGTTTATCTCTCTGCCTTCCTTCGTCTGTTCCTGTGCAGGGAACAACGAGGTTATGGTCTCTTCTCGGCAGCAGAGACAGTCTTCAGGGGACAGACTCTACTTAATTTCCTTCCACTGATTTGGGTTGAGACTCGTCTTCGTTTGTTTCCAAATTTTGGATTCTATTAATTAATCCCAGCAAATCAATATATCTCCTTCGATTTGGTTTTTCCAATTTCCAAGAGAATCTAGTCCTGCACAATTCTATCAGTGCCCGGTTCCAATTATGTTCATAAATTTCCCAAGTCTCTGGGGCTAACCACTCCCAACCACAAAAAGCTTTTATTATTTCAGCACTAGCTAATTGTTCCCTTATGGATTCAGCAGAACTTGTCCTACACTTCATACAATTGGGTTGTCCCCTTATAGACACACAGCGCCACTTCTTACCACACTTCTTACATTTACACAATACCCAACTGTAGTGCGTTGATTCAGGATGTTTAATACAAGGTATCCCATGTGGGTTTCGTCCCTCTGGTACGTCAGTCTCTACTTCACAACAAAAAGGCAATACAGTCTGGGTTCCTGTTATTCTATATAGTCCTGATCCTCCAGTCTGTTCAGGTATTCCTTCTAAGTTCCACGAAACAAAGTGCACTCTCCTTAAAGTTTGTTCTTGGGGTATCTGAAAGAAAGAATACAGGCTGGACCTTGCGACCTCTCCATCAGGGTTCATCTGTTGGCTGTACTCGTCTGATCCTCATTTGTAAGTCTCCTGGACTCGAGGTTATTTTCCACTCTGAATCCTTCACTGGTCCTTTTACTCGTGATGCATGGGTCCACCCTCGCTCAGCTGTCCTTACTGCTGTATCTGTGGTGAGAAGAACAACAAAGGGCCCCTCCCATTTTGGAGTTAAAGATGTTTCTTTCCAGGTTTTGATTAATACCTTATCACCTGGCTGAAATTTATGTATGGCCATGTCCAGAGGGGGTCTCTGAGTTACTAATCCCTTTTTCCTCAGTTCCTGTTTTCTTCTCATTAATTCAATAATATATTCTCTTAATAGGGCATCCTCAACTTTCGGATGATCCCTTGGAGTTCCAAATTCATAAGGCATGCCGTACAACATTTCAAAGGGTGAAATCCCTGTGTCTGTACGAGGTTGAGTTCTGACATATAATAACGCTAGGGGAAGGCACTTTACCCAAGTCATTTTTGTTTCTAACGTCAATTTGGTTAAATGTTTCTTAATTTCTCCATTCATTCTTTCTACCCTTCCCGAACTTTGTGGATGCCAAGGAGCGTGATATTCCCACCTGGTTCCTAGCGACTCCATTACTTCTTTAATTACTCTAGAAGTGAAGTGAGTCCCACGGTCTGAGTCTATTGTATTAACCACACCATATCTTGGAACAATTTCTTCTAGCAAGATCTTAGATACCACTTTAGCTGTACATCGAGCAGTAGGGAAAGCCTCCACGAAGTGTGTTAGATGATCTACTAATACTAACAAATACTGATACCTCCCCACCTTAGGTAGCTCTGTAAAGTCCACCTGAATTCTTTCAAAGGGTCTCTTGGCTAGTTCCCTTCCTCCATTAACCTTTTCTCTCAAGTATCCTCTATTCACCTTCCTACACGTTAGACATCCTTCTAGGACCTTTTTGGCTATATCATACGCTCCAACACATACATATCTATTTTCAAAATGATCTACCAAGGCCTGGGTACTCCAGTGTGTTTGCTCGTGTAACTTATTCATAATTCTGCGAGCAAGACCCTTGGGAATCACTTCTCTTCCATCTGCTAGTAACCACTTCCCTTGCTCTTCTCTTGCGCCTGCTTGTAACAATTTTTCTTTCTCTTGCTTACTAAAAGACTTAGGGATACACTCACTCTCCACTTCCTGTTCTTGTACTACCAGCAAGGCTGCTCTTTTTGCTTCAGCATCAGCTAAGTTGTTTCCCCTGGCAGTGATTTTTAGTCCTCTCTGATGACCTCGTACATGCACTACTGCAATCTGCTTTGGGCCTCTCAAAGCTTTTAACACCTCTCGAATCAGGCTCTCATGAACTAATCCTTTGCCCTTAGCATTGGTTAACCCTCGTTCTTCCCATATTTTCCCAAAAGTGTGAACCACTCCAAAGGCATATTTAGAGTCTGTGAATATAGTCCCAACCTTTCCTTCCAACAGCTGCAGAGACCTTAACAGGGCATATAGCTCACACATTTGAGCTGACCAGTTATTCTGCAGAGATCCAGATTCTCTAACTTGAAAAGTAACTCCATCTATTACAGCATAACCTGATCTCCTCTTTCCATTCACAACTCTAGATGAACCATCGATATAAAGTTTTTCACCTGTGTCTAATTCCTCCTCTTCAAGATCCTCCCTAATCTTGGTCTGTAAGCTTATAACCTGTGAACAATCATGTACCACATTTCCCTGGGGTTCACCGTACAAAAACTGAGCTGGATTCTGTAAGTGAGTTACTTCCAACTCCAGCTTAGAGGTGTTTAACAAAATACTCTCGTACTTTAATAATCGGCTATCTGTCAGCCACTTTTCTGCTCTTAGTCTCAACACTCCTTTGATATCATGGGGAGTATATACCTTTAAATTTCCCCCAAAAGTGACCTTCATAGCCTCCTCCACCAATAGGGCAGTAGCCACTACTGCCTGTAGACAGGTGGGCCAACCTCTGCTTACAGGATCTAGGATTTTTGAATAATAGCCCACAGGTTTCTTGTGTTCAGCCCATTTCTGAGTCAACACCCCATAAGCTGTTCCATTTTCAACATTCACGAACAGATAAAAAGGTTTCCTGATGTCTGGTAGACTAAGTACTGGAGAGTTCATCAGGTCTTCTTTCAATGCCTCTAACTTACTTTCATCCTCATCACTCCACTTTACTAATTTTTCTTTAGTTAATTTCTCATACAGAAACTTCACTTTATAACTGTAGTTCTCTATCCATTGCCTACAGTACCCCAAAAGACCCCAAATTTGTCTAATCTGCCTTTTGCTTTGAGGGGTGGGCATAGACAATATCCCCTTGACTCTTTCAGGATCTAATCTCTTACATCCTTTACTCAGCCAGTGTCCTAGATCTCTCACTTTTTCTTCTGTGAACTGTAACTTGGACTTGGATACCTTTAAGCCTTTGCTTCCTAAAAAGTTCAGGAGTCTAATACTCTCCTCCCTAACAGACTCAGCATCTTTCCCAGCAATCAACAAGTCATCAACATATCGCACCAATACTGTTCCATCACGAGTCTTAAAGGACTCTAACAACTGTTCCAGAGCCTGTCCAAATAAGTTAGGTGACTCAGTAAACCCTTGAGGTAAAGCAGTCCATCTCAGCTGTTGTTTTCTATGGGTATCAGGGTCTTCCCATTCGAATGCAAAGTAGTTTCTGCTCTCCTCTTTAAGAGGACAAGTCCAAAAGCCATCCTTTAAATCTATCACACTATACCACTGATGTTCTGGAGAAACCTGACTTAATAAAGTGTACGGATTGGCAACCACTGGAAATCTTGTCACTGTTCTTTTGTTTACTTCTCTTAAGTCCTGTACTAACCGATAGGTCCCATCTGGCTTTTTAACCGGCAGAATAGGGGTATTATGGGGAGACATACAAGGTTCTAGTAACCCTTTTGCCAATAGTCTTTCTATGGTAGGCTTAAGGCCTATTTTCCCTTCATTAGGGATTGGGTATTGCTTTATTCTAATCGGTTTATTAGGATCTGTTATGGAAATTTCGAAGGGATCAATGTCCAGTTTCCCCACAGTGTCAGGGGTATACCAAACCTCTGGATTCATTTTATTTTCATCTTCTGCCGTAAGGGCATAAATTTTCACCTTTAGTTGCTGTTCCGATACTTCTAAATTAATTCCCAATGCAACCATTAAATCTCTTCCTAATAGATTATATTCTGCTTCTGGGACTAACAAGAAGGTTCCCAGAGCAAATTTATTGGAAGCCTCTATTTCAACATTCTTAATTATGGGCACTTTAAAAGGCTCCCCTTTTGCTCCAATGACTTGTGCCTTATCGGATGACAGTATGCATCCCTGAGGTAGTTGTTGTACTGTAGATCTTTCTGCTCCGGAGTCCACAAGGAACTCTATAACTTGTTGCTGAGGACCCACTTTTAATTTTGTCAAGGGCTCTGAACTTTTCCGGGTCCCCAGCAAATAGAGCCCCTGACCCCGCTAGTCTTCTTGAAAGACCTGCTCATCCTGTAGCCTCTTTTTGCAGTTTCTTTTAATGTGTCCTCTCTGGCCACAGTAATGACACTCAATTTCATTAAAATTTGTCTTTCTGTTCCTCCTTGGCTGTTCTTGCTCATTAAGTCTAAAAGATTCTTTCCTCTTCTGTTCCTTATTATTATTCTGTTCTCCCCTGATAGCAGCCACTAAAACCCTCGTTTGCTTCCTTTGTATGTCCTCTCTCCTCCTCTGCTTTTCTTCCTCTCTCACCTCATCTCTTCTAACATACACTTCCTGGGCCTCTCTTAACAACAAATCCAACCCTTTCGTTTGCCAATCTCTATTCTTTTCTAACTTCTTCCTAATATCTTCCCATGACCCTTGTACAAACCTAAGTTTCAACACAGCCTGTCCCATAGCATCATCTTCAGGATCCATTCCTGAATACAACTGGAAACTCTTTCTCAGTCTTTCTAACCAATCAGTGGGTGACTCATCCTTCTTCTGATATTCCTTAAATGCCTTATCTATATTCTGTCCCCTAGGGACAGATTCTCTTATACCCTGCACTATCATGCTTCTCAAATCATCCATCTGGGCTCTATCCTCTGCCCTCTGGTTATTCCAGTTGGGCTTCTCAACAGGCCACTTTGTGTCTGCAGCTGGGCCCTGCTGATGCCGACGGTCCCAGTTTCTCATACCAGCTACCCTAATCATTCCTCTCTCCTCAACAGTAAACAGAATACCCAGTATAGCTTGCATTTCATCCCAGGTATAAGTGTTGGGTCCCAAAAACTGATCAAACCTTTCAGAGACCCCTATAGGATCTTCTAATAAATTCCCCATTTCCTTTTTAAAAGCTCTTACATCCCCAGAGCTAAGAGGCACAGACACAAATCCTACCCCTGCCTGTCTTCCCGTTAAAGCCGTCTCCCTAAGGGGATATAACTGTCATTGTGGAAGGGGGTTTTCCGTTTCCTCATGAGTCAATACCAGGTCTGAATTTAAAGGCGACTCATTAGATCCTTTTAGGGGGATTGGTACAGAGGTGGGGGACAAAATGGCGGTTTCTGCCCTCGCGTAGGTAAGATGGCGGATTCCCGCCCTTGTGTAGGAAAAATGGCGAATTCCCGCCCTTGTTAGCATGTTCTTAGCATGTTCTTAGCATGTTCTTAGCATGACCTTAGCATGATCTTAGCATGTTTTTAGCATGACGTTAGCATGTTCTTAGCATGTTCTAAGCATGTTCTTGGCATGACGTTAGCATGTTCTTAGCATGTTCTTAGCATGTTCCGAAGCATGTTCTTAGCATGTTCTTGGCATGTTCTTAGCATGACCTTAGCATGTTCTTAGCATGTTCCGAAGNTTCTTAGCATGTTCCGAAGCATGTTCTTAGCATGTTCTTGGCATGTTCTTAGCATGACCTTAGCATGTTCTTAGCATGTTCCGAAGCATGTTCTTGGCATGTTCTTAGCATGTTCTTGGCATGTTCTTAACGTGTTCTTAGCATGTTCTTGGCATGTTCTTAACGTGTTTGTAGCATGTTCTTAGCATGTTCTTAGCGTGTTCCGAAGCATGTTCTTGGCATGTTCTTAGCATGTTCCGATGCATGTTCTTAGCATGTTCTTAGCGTGTTCTTGGCATGTTCTTAACGTGTTCTTAGCATGTTCTTAACGTGTTCTTAGCTTGTTCTTAGCATGTTCCTGGCATGTTCTTGGCATGTACTTGGCATGTTCTTAGCATGTTCTTAGCATGACGTTAGCATGTTCTTAGCATGTTATTTACAACATGTTTAAATCATGCTAAGAACATGTGACTGTCATGCTTACAAAAATAGAACCTAAGATTTTTTGCATGATGTTCACATGTTCTTAGCATGGCACTAACATGTTATTAACATGACATTAGCATGCTCTTAGCATGTTATTCAGAACATGCTAACGTCATGCTAAGAACATGTGATTGTCATGCTTACCAAAACAGAATCTAAGATTTTTGCGTGATGTTCACATGTTCTTAGCATGACGTTAGCATGTTCTTAGCATGATGTTAGCATGTTCTTGGCATGTTATTTATAACATGCTAAGAACATGTGACTGTCATGCTTACCAAAATAGAATTTAAGCTTTTTTGCATGATGTTCACATGTTCTTATCATGATATTAGCATGTTCTTTGCATGTTATATAGAACATGATAAGAACATGTGAACATCATGCAAAAAAAAAAAATCTGCGCTTGGCTTTTTGCCCAGCTGAACTTTCCATTGCCTGCACACAGCCTGGATTGAGAGAAATCTGAGGGAAAAGTTCCTTTCACTTGTTCCAGGTGCCCTTCAGGAGGATTTCCAGCAAACCAGTTTCTTCTAAAATGGGTGCTGAAATTTCTCAAGAGACTCTGCAATGAAAAGCAAAAAGTGGTAAATGACTGGTGAGCTGAGAAAGCCAAAGGGAAAAAAAATTCAACGGGAATGAAGTGATTTGTTATATTATGGCCAAAAATGAGTACAGAGGATGGTTTCAACAGTTGGAGTCCCACAGGCAGAGCTGACTGTGCAGGGAGGTGCTTTTAAATAGAAAAAGCTTAATTTTGGAGGGGTTAAATGGGAGGTGGAACTTCCAGGAGGAAATAAATAAAAATAAAATGAGAGGTGGGATAAAGCCTAGAAGAAAATCAAAGCTTTAAGAGGCTGAGGGGGCCAGTTAAAGATTAAAGGGTTTAGGGTTAAAGGGTTTTCAAAGGCAGGGATAAGGGAACGTTCTTGAAGGCAATGAAATACAAACTGGAAAGCCCATGCTAATGCCTAATCACCGTTCCTGTGAAGAACTTCTTCCTAATGTCCAACCTAAACGTCCCCTGGCACAGCTTAAGACTATCTCTTCTCGTCCTCTATTGTCCTGTCGTCCTTTTACGGATACAGCTGGTTGCCTGCGAGAAGAGGCCGACCCCCACCTTACTCCAACCTCCTTTCAGGGAGTTGGAGAGAGTGATAAGGTCACCGCTGAACCTCCTTTTCTCCAGGCTAAACACCCCCAGCTCCCTCAGCCACTCAACACTGAACGTGCGCTCCAGACCCTTCACCAGCTTCGTTGCCTGTCTCTGGACTCGCCCCAGGGTCGCTGGCCTTTGTAAAGCACAATTAGCTTTCTTTATTTTAAAACATATTCTCAACTTTGGGAAAAATTGGTGGTAACTTTGATGTATCTCATGATACATGTGTTTCTCTCCAAACAGCTACTCTCCTCAGTTCCTGAGTGTCCTCAGCAGTTTTAAATGGATGTTGAGTCTTTCAGAGCTTAATTTGTCGCATGCCCTTACCACACACAGCAGCTTAGCAGAGCCACTCCAGAGCTGACGACGTTTCAGAGCCAGAGGAAGCAAACCCCAGTAAAGCATCCAACACAAATCAAGCTCGTACAGGCAAAATCCTTTTTCCAAGGAGTAGAAAAGAGCTTGACTAAACACTTCACAAAAATCCAATAAATTTACTTTGAAAAGCATCCTCCATTTGTTTCTTTCCTCTTAACCATACCTCTCAATCCTTTACAGCAGTTCGTAATTTGTCAGCACTTCTGCATTTTCTAAAATTATAGAATTATTAACCAAACCCAGCTATTTTTTATATATAAGCATTTATACATTTATACATTTTCCAGTACCACAAGGGAGCCTACAAGAAAGCTGGAAAGGGATCTTTTAAAGAGCACATACTGACAGGACAAGGGGGAATGGATTCAAACTGAAAGAGAGTAGGTTTACATTAGATATTAGGAGGAAATTCTTTGCTGTAATGATGGTGAGACACTGAAACAGGTTGCCCAGAGAAGCTGTGGTTGCCTCTTTCCTGGAAGTGTTCAAGGCCAGGCTGGATGGAGCTCTAAGCAACCTAATCTAGTTAAAGGTGTCCCTGCCCATGGCAGAGGGGTTGGAACTAGATGATCTCTAAGGTCCCTTCCAACCCAAACCATTCTATGATTCTCTGGTTTCATTTGTTGCCAGAGCAGATTTGTTTTTTTTAGTTTTCAACATCCACGTGCTGTGCCTTTCTCAATCCTCCCAGGCCGCATGTGAATATAATGTACGTAACAAGTACATAACTGGCAAGTGATAGAACTATCAAATGGGGATGGTCTTTCCTGAATCCGTGAGTTGTATCCAGCAAAAGGGGAATCTTGCACTCATTTTTAAAATGGTTATTGCAAAAGGGGCTGTTGTAAAATGCCAGCTCAACATAGCAGTTATGCTTCCACAAAGATTTAAGAGCAACAACATTTGGGCAAGGAAAAGGGAGAAAAATATTGCCACTTGACTTTCACCCAATAGTGATTTTCTTAGCAATCTAAAGCTGCTAGAGGCCACAAGAGTTTGCTCAGGGCTTTCAACAAACTTCTGGATCCCCCTTTAACACTGAAGCTTCACAGTACCTTCTGACATGGTAATGGCCAAAGGAATTGAGAAAAGGCTTAACTACATACAAACACGAGGAAAATAACTTGAGTTTTTAACTGTTAGTTGGCTGACTTTTCCCTCTGTTTTGGGTTCAGCTACTTCTAGGAAATCGATGGTGTTATTTGGCACTACCTGTCGCAGTGATCTACTCTAAATGCTGGATCCTCTTCAGCTCAAAGAGAGACTGAATGCTCACAAGTGATTTAATCTTCCAGACAAATCAGACAATACACCCTCATTTAGTGTAAGCAAAGTTCCTTCAGCCCAATGCAATACCTGCATATTTTATATTCAGTAAGATCCTCTTTCTACAGGCTACCCAACTTCAGAAAACCTTTTCAAGGTTCCAGATCATTTTCTGTAATACTATTTCCAGTAACTTTCTGCTTTCCAAAAGAGCTTTACTTTCCCCAAGGTTTTCCAGTTAGGGAAAGCATCAGTGCCAGGGAGCTGTCAGGTAACACCTGAAGAATCTGTACTTTGTAGTTCAATGAAAGCAAAGAGGCACCTCAAGAAATTAAATTATAGCATGCCACACCCATACATTTTAATTGCTTTGTTTCTCTAAGAGCACCAAGTTTCCAGTATTCAAAATAACTTACTTAGAACTAGCTCACATACCACCATTGAGCAGCTCAGCAGGCTGGGGTTTCGAGGCTTAACTGCTTTGAAAAGGTAAAGTAACTCTGTTTTCATAATTTGTGATCTGCTGGTAAGGAGCAACAGACCCTTGAATTACTGGTGCTGTGACTCTGATCTGCTCTGCTGCGTGCCAGAGATCTTGCCAGAGACCAAAACAGGATCGTAGTACTAGAAATTTCTAGGGAGAGAATAAAAAACAACCAAGAAAGCATCACTATGTCATTGCATAAATATACCTACACCTTGAACACTGTGTGCATTGTTCATCCCTACAAAAGAAGAATGTAGTAGGACTTCCAGAGGTGTGGAGTAGGGTAAGAAGGATTGCCAAAGGTAGAGAGGGGCACCTCTCTGTGTAACCATTAAAGTGAATTTGTAACTTTGCTCTCAAACAGAAAATGGAACATGACAGAAATGTCTAAGAACACTTTCATTGTCTCTGCAAAAATTTAGAGGCATCAAGTGCAACAAGCAGGTGGCATGTCCAAAACTAAATGAATTATTTAAACCACAGAGATCATCATCCTGGGACATTTTGGATCTTGAAAATCACATTTGTTCAAAAGCAGCTGGGCTAAATCATGGGAGAAAAACAAACAAAAAAAAACAGCAAAGGTTTCAAAACACAAAACTTCTGCCTCACGAAGTCTCTGAACCATTGGAGACTGGGACAGTATTCTGGGGTAATGACACTTAACTTCCCCGGGCCCTGCCTGAGGACAACAGCCAAGTGACTGGGTACCAGGTTGGCTGACCTTCTGCTCTGACGTCCTGCTCATCCCATTTTTATTGGGATGTCCCAGCATATTTCTGCTATTCATCAGAAGTTTTTTTCTAAGCACTGGATTTACGCTCACAGACTTTACAGTTTTGACAAATCAAGATCCACCAGTGAAAATTCTTCTTAAAGGAAATATTCTAACCCATGGAAACTTTAATGTTCAAGCTATAAATTCTAGTCTTCTTGAGATATGTGTATATCAGTACGTAGAATATTTAATATTTTATGTTTCTTTCAGAGGGAGACGATAATCTCATAGTTTGAAAACTCTCAGAAATTGATTATTTAGAGCAATATAGAATTTTCCCACTATGTGGCGCCAAACAATTAAAAAGCAGTTAAAGTGAGACATGGAGCTTCTCATAAACCGTAGTTTTCTTAAATAGAAAAAACCTTTATTAGTAACTAAAGTAACCCCAGATTCTTCCATTCAAAGGTACCAAAGCACAAATACTAGGGGCTATTTAGATAAAATGCCTTTTTTCTGTCACAGAAAGACAAACTGTAACCTTAAAACAGCAATATTTTAAGTCATATCATAATGATAATAATTGAACAGGCATGATCTTTCTCCCTTCCCCTCCTCCACTTACATAATCCCTTTAAAGTTTTTTGTTAAGAAAGAGCAAGATACTTTTAAATTAATTTGAACATCACTTGAAAATGATCTATTTATTTATATCACAGTTTTGTAATTGCAACTAGTATAAAAAATATTTTTTCTATTGCAAGTCTCAAGTATATATATCATCTTTCCAAAGAATCCACACAAAAATGAATTCAAGAGAAGACACAAAATGTTTCCTGGCATATATTTCCAATTGTAGACACACATGCCAATCTGAAATACCTAAACTTAAATGGTTGCAATGCTTATCGATGTGAGAAAGGACCAGAAGAACTCCTTTTGTCATGACAGGGTAAGGTTCTGATCCAGCATGTCCATCATGTTCTACATATGCAGGAAAGTCTCATAAACCCAAAATTTTACATTCTAGTTGCAGGTTCGATGACAACTTGATCATCTCTAGAATGTAGCTACTGGCATTTTTTGGATTAGCTTCCATCCTCTGGAGTAGATGTTTTGCAATACAATCTTCATAATACTTTAAAACAAATGAGGTTATTGTTTAGTAAGATAACAAAGAATTTACTTTCTTGCATTAAGTCCATTACAGTAAAGAAGCCCGTGACACACATCTTCAGCCCACAGGGAGGCTAATACTTAGGAGTCCTCATTAGAGAGGGAAATATTTCATAATGTTTTGACTTTGGTTTACTGCTGTAGTGAGCCAGTTAACAGATGATCATTCCAAAGTGCAAATACCTGGTCTTGCAGTTTTCTTCTACAATGTACTGCCTGTCAGGTTTTTTGCATTTTCTGCACATATTTGCAAGAATTTTTGCAGGTTTTTTATTGCTTGCATGTAACTTCCATCAGTGAGAACAGTAAGGAGAAAGAATTCTCTTCCTGAGATTGTGTTTACATATATAATAGTTTTCTGTGTTTTTGCCTGGAAGATTTATGGCTTTCCATCTTGCTTTCTAATTACAAAACAAAGTTATGTTTCATTCTATGCATCCCAGTTGTTCCACTGGTAATTTTAGTTCCATCAGTAACTGACCACACATTCTAGCCACTTCTACATACTTCACAGCTAAGGGCAGTTAAGAGAAAATCCTGAATACCCCTATTCCTTCTTCCAGAATATTTTTGTACGCCTCTTTACGTATTGGTATCGAGAGCTGCATGACTGTAAAGCATTTTTATTACTCGAGGGCAGAGAAAATGTCAATACACAAAAAAACCTGACAAAAACACTCACTGAGTGAGCAGGCTTTGCTCTCCCTCTTGCGGTCCAAGCACGTCATTCCCGTAGCCTCCGCTAGTTCTGTGCACTCTGGATTCAAAAGCTTTCTGCACACTTGGGTGTACCCAAAGAGAGCATGTCACTATTGAAGTTTACAATATGGTCAAAGTTTTCATTAAAGGCCAGTGCTAAAGCATTTGGTATAGTGTTTGTTGGGAACTAAATGTTGATCTTGATTCTTTTAGCTAGATCTTATAATCTAAATTTTTTTTTAATTTAAATGTTTTTAATGTAGATTGAACACTCTAGACAGAAAGTATAGGGTAGAAAACAATGCACTTCTTGCTATACGACCAATCATGGTTTTAATACATTTTTTCAGCGACCAGTGTTAAAAAAATACATGAGGCACTTAGGAAAGTACCAGCAAATGAAGCAGTTTCAGGAAAGTTGCTGGGATACTTTAAGGTCACTGCAAGTGAGTGGAAAATTGGAGGCTGTACTGAACTGAATAGGAAAAAATGAAATTCTGTGTATAATAACCAGATGGGGAATATTTGAGCTTTTAAGACCTTTTTATTTTTTTCAAACTGAAAAACTGCACTTCCAATGACTCACAGATGAATGTGAAAAAACAGTTTAGTCTGCACACCTACATTAGAAATAGCCACCAGAGGAAGGGAGAGGTGTGGTTTGTTTATGCACCAGAAGAGTCTGTAAAACATTTTGCCTCCCTAAGTAACAACCCAAACAAAATACAAGCCCTAAATCTCAATTCAAATCAATGTGTGTACGAGGAAGATTTCTGTACATGCCAGACAAGCATAATTAATTTTTCCAAATGCTTTTTAATACTTTAGGCAGTCTTTTAAAAAACACAAAGACGACCGGTTACCTGAGATACACTCTCAGCTCTTTTCAACCGTAGGGGACCAACAGCGGGATGACAGCACGACCCACCAGCACACGCACCTGCTGCTTCACCCCAGCTGGAACTAAAACACAAAGTGTGTTGTTACCAATAGGACAGGACAGCTCTGCGGGACCCACTCAGCCCATAATATCCCCAGCACTGCCGCGGGGGCTGCACGGTTCCAACCCTCCGGTTTGTACTTGACAAATGACCTTCCACATGGTGTGGAATTTGAATTGCGGTAAGCCGAGGAGCCGAGGAACGGCAGGGCAAGCGGACGCTTCTTCCTAACATCGTCTCCGAAATTAACAGGAAAAATTCCTAATTCACAAAGGAACTTAAAAAAACTGGTACGGGGAAGGACTACAGGCAGGCCGTCCCTTCCTGGGACCCCTCTGCCAGCCTTCCCCTCGCAGCGCTGGCTCCAGCCAGCCTCCCCCCGCCCTCCGTCCGGGCGCTCCCGCCGGGGCCGGAGCACGCGGGGCAGGCGGCGGCCCCGGGAGCGCGTCCCGCCGGCAGGACAACGCGGCCGGACCACCCCGCTCCGCTTCCCGGGAAGGGCCCCCAACTCTGAACCTCCCGCCGGCTCCCGGGGCGGCCGAGCCTCGCAAACCCCGCCCGGGCGCCCCGCCGGGGGCGGCCCCGCTCCTCAGTGGCCGCCTCGGCCGTCGCTCAGGCGGCCGCGCCGCTCGCCGCGGGGATGGCGGGGCGGGCGCCGAGGGGCGCGGGCAGCGCCCACAGCCCGGACGGCGCCCGGCGCGGCGAGCCACGGCCGGCCAGGTTTGACCTCCCTTTCGCTGCCCCCTTCCCTCCCTTCGCGAGCCCGGCTCTTTCCCGGCCGGGTGTCGCTCCCCGGCGGCGGGGGCGCGGCGGCACAGGCGACGCGGTGCCCCCCGGGTGACACCGTCGGGTGGCTTCGGGGGATGCTGTGTCGGGTCAGCGCGGTGTGTCGGGTCACGGCAGGACCACGGGGTGCCGCGGGCGGTGTCCCCGCGGCGGGGACTGGCGGGCTTGAGGGCGATGTAGGTCCCGTGGGTTCCAGGCTCTTCTCGTCCAGTTGGCAGTGCCGCTACCGCATCCCTGCTGCCGTCCCAAAAATAGAAGAGCAGGAAGAACACAACTCCTAAACAAACGACCGAAATGAAGATACTTTTGAAATACCTACACTGCCAGATTTCGGAATGCGACGTAAAAATTAAACATGGGTACTTAGTGTGATGTGACACTGCGATCTTAAAAATTGCTGTCATCAGGCAAAGGACATAAAATGATCTTGTATGCTTTGATGTTGTTTGCTGCACACATTTGACACTGGTCAAATGCAGATGCAGATGAACCCTCTGTTGTGCCATTTCCCTGGGAAGCTGAGCAGGCAGTAATGAGCTGGGAGCAGGCAGCCTGGCCCCTGAAATCAGGGGGGCTTGCAGGGGTCTGTGCCTGGGACTGGGGTGGGAGGCCCTGGCTGACTGTGTTGTTTCACAACAAACTTCTCAATATATTGGAACCAAACTTCTCAATATGTAGGAAGCAGTAGGATGAGATTTCATAAATGAGATTTTGAAGGAAGTTTTAAACAGTTTAGGCTACAGTTTGTCTAAACACAGAATTATGCAAAATGAGTCAAATGGAAAATAAAGTTACCAGTGTTTGGAGGTGAGTAAGGGCCCTGGCTAGCAACAAACCTGAGAATGACTTCCTTGATTCCTAAACAGGTCCAGTTTCTGTCTCATTATTTCCCTTCTCCAGTCCAACCTTTATGGCTCCAGAAAAATTTTTAAGTGTCAATGAAAAGGTGGAAGAAAGGGACCTGAAATTCGAGAGGTATAGTCCAAATGGATTTGGGGTGGTGAACATTTTGGGATGGTGAAGTATATATTTGCACTTATACTGTGCAAACCCACACCTGTCGAAGCAGAACTTACCAAGCTTTCTCCAGCACAGAAAGGACATCCAGAACATATGGACAGAATGTGAAGCATTTAGTTAACTAAACACTCAGTTTTGTTCAAAACTGAGGAAAACACTTGACAGTATGCTAAGGAATATGTAAATTTTTTAACATGCTTCAAAACGGTAGAACACTGTTGCCTCCTTCCCCCTGAAATATATTTTGATAATTTCCAAGCAGACGGCAAAGAAAAGGAAATTATATCAATACCTTTGGGGAGAATGTGACATTCTGACTTCTTGAAGCCTAGAAAGCGGTTTATAAACTTAAAAAATGAAAATGACGAATTTAATCTTTCCAGACTTGTCAAACTTGTCTCAATTAATTTTTGATGACATAATTAGAACTTAAGGCTTTAATGTGCGCTTTTTTAGTTTACTTTTCAAAAGATTTAATTTTTAAAGACTCAGGGGATATGGAGGGCTTTGCGGTGGGAACTGGAGCAGGAAGAAGGGGCGGACTCTGAGTAGGTTTGAGTGCTGATTCAGAGTACTCTATTAAGCCAAGAGAGATGAACTCATTTTTTTCCTCCCTTGGGGAATCAGACAAGAAACAGGAAGTCATTGATTCTAAGTAAGATCATTCACTCTGCAATTGTAAACAGTGTATTATGTGCCTGTAAATATTTTCAGAACCCACTGGCTTGTTGGAAAATGCGAAGTAAATTATTACGATCTCTAGCAAACAACCCACCATAAAAAAGGTTATTTTCAATCTTTTTATCTGTAATGTTTATACAGTGGAATATTAATTAGCTTGGACATTGAGAAACTACTTGGCTGGACACACTGTTCACTGCCAGAAATCCATCTACTCAAATGCTTTGTCTGTTGAAAGACAAACATTTTAACTCCACCCTGTAATATTGTGCCCTACCGAAAGCAAAAATTCTTTCATTGCTTGATCCGTTTGGGTTTTCACTGCCACAAACACTGAAATATCCCACTGTTAACCAGATGTTGGCTGCGTCCCTTTTTGTCTCATGTAGCTGAATAGACAATGTAATAGTAAACTGCCACTCCTCATTACTTAGGAGAGCAGAGTCCAGGCTGTCTGTCCAGATCAACCTGCAGCTGAAACTACTTCTTCCCTCTGTAAAGTAGGAGAAGCTGCTGCTTGGAAGTGCCACCTTTTCCCTTAGAACGGGAGGACTCTGCATAAGGAGAGAAGAGCATGGATTAGGGATGGGACGATGGTGAGCAACTTGCTTCCCTGACAGTCCAAGGAATTTTCTGCCAAGCTTAAAAGATGGGGGGAATGGTAAAAGACACAATAAGTGTCTTGGTCACCTCAAAGGATAGCAGTTGAAATGCTTGTGTACTTAATTTTTAGAACTCAGGTGTTTTAGGATCGACTCAGGAAGCTATCTTATTAACATGCTTAAAATCCTAGTGATTCTATGGGGATTCCTGAGTGGGAGATTCCTGAATAGGGATGGTTGTAACCTCTGGCTTAGCAGCTTGAATCATAGTCTGCCGGACCAAGAGGAAGAAAGAGCCAAGAATGGAGCGGTTATCTTCAGACAAGTGATTGTGGTGAAAAACTGACAAATTTTATTCAGTTTTTCTTTCCTAATTTTTCTTCTAACTTAAGATATGGAATGAAAAAAAAACAAGGAAATTAGGGTATGTGACAAGGAAGAAAATTTTGAGCCAGTATTTCACCTGTTGAGCTATGATGAACTTGAGAGTAATGCAAGACTTGGGGAATTTAGAGGAGAACTAGAAAATATTACTGTAGGAAAGTGAAGACCTTTTTGGAATCCTGCTCATGACTTCGATCTGTCTTGTGATGCTTTGCCTTTACCTTTTTTCTTTCTGTTGTCAGAAGCAGTGGAAAAGATAAATGCATAGGTCCAGCTCCAGCTGAGGGGTTTCAACTGGGGCTTCCTCCTCCAACACTGGGAGGAAGGGAAGTACTTGAACCTAGGTTTCTGAAGTTCTGGAGTAGTCATGGGGAGGGGGGCTCTCCAAGGTGTTAATTAATCCATGCTGTGTCAAGACTTGCAGTATGGAGATCTGTATTATGCATGATTTTCCTGTGTCAGCCTCCTTTGTCACACTGAAAATGGTGGCTACTTGCCTTTCCTTGTGAGGATCTCACTTTTCGTGGCATAGGTGACAAACATGCAGTATAACTTTATGACTTGTAGTTTTTTCTTTGTTGTTATCTTCCATCTTCCACTGAATGGAGTTTTTATATCTGTTTGTTATTTCTGAGATAAATTGGATACTTAAGAGCTATTCAGGCTTCATTTTCAAAGCCACACCTAAATGTTCAAAGCCCTGCAAAGGCCAGGGCCTTTGCTTAGCAAGGGAACTTCTTAGACTGAATGGTTACATTCAGCCTTCCACTTACTCTTTATTAAACTGTCTACAAACACTTGGAACGCAACAGAGCCCAGTCCTTCTGCTTGCACACAGATGATTTTCTTGGCTTCTCAGACTCAAACCATGATGAGCCAGTTCTCATCCTGAATAATTTTTCCAGTACTGCTTGTCCAGAAAGGCATTGAGTTTAATTTCCAGAAGACATGAGCTGTTAAATGGGGATAAAAGCACAGATTTGAAACCAAAACATGCATGAACCAGGATGTCCTGTCTTCAACAGCTAATGCAAAGGGATTGTTTTTCATGTGAGAGGTCCATTAGGAACCATTTGCTCACCTGCCTTTGCATTTGGAACCAGAAACTCCCCTTTGCATCTCATTAAGGATATTAAATTTTAAATGCAATTTGATTAGACGTAAGAATTTTAAAACACTTCTAAAAGAGTCATCTGCCAAACATTTAACTTACATAAAACCAAATGTTCTACTAACATACAGGTAGTTACACCTATGTAAGGCATTTTCTAAGCAAAAGCTCAGTTCCTTACAAGCCTCTCCTGCGTAAGAAAGGATACATACAGTAACTGAAGATTAAGATCTGTGAAGTGTCACTGCTTATCAAGGAAAACTAATTGCAGCCCCAAAATTTTAGGAGAAATTAAAATGTGATAAAACTAAATATTAGCAACACGGATTTCAGAATTTGATAGTTATGATTAGGGCTTTTGTAAACTAATGTATTTTTACTAAGTTTTATGAAACTGTACATGTATAAAATTTGGGGACATTCTTAAGATTTATAAAAAATAGGTTAGTATGTACACTAAAAAAAGTCAGACGTTAAATATATACTCAATTTGATATGGGGATTTTTTCCCTTTTTTTTTTTTCCAGCATAAATATGGCTGAACTTTCAGACCCAGAAGGTACTGTAAACTGGAAGGAAAGATGTTTAACTTTGGAGTCACAGTTAATGAAATTTCGTCTCCAAGCAAGCAAGATCAGAGAATTGCTAGCGGAAAAGGTAGGTCTCATCATATGAATTTTAATGCTGTATAAATTATTTTATAATGGGGGCTGATCACATGTCATGGTTTGAGATTACAAGTACTGAGGTTTTTTCAGAAAGG